GCATTTGCTCTTCCAGCCCGTCATGTAGCCTCCACTGCTGATACCTATGTGTTCACTGTTGGGCTCTTTTATAGGGCTTTTTGGAAGGATCTCTTCAGCTAATGTGTTGTTGTTGTTTGTTGTTATGTGCCGTCGAGTCGTTTGCAACTCATAGCGACCCTATGCACAACAGCCCTAAACCCTGCTCTATCCTGTGCCAACTGCACTGCCTCTGACACACCCATCCCCATTACCCCAGTCACCGAATCAATCCATCTCAAAGAGGGTCTTCCCCTCCTGCGCTGTCCCTCCACCCTCCCAAGCATGATGTCCCTCTCCAAGGACCCGTCCCTCCTGGTAACATGTCCAAAGTATGTCAAACAAAGCCCCAAAATCCTTGCCTCCAAGGAGTAGCTTGGTTTAATCCTCTCCAAGATGAATCTGTTTGTTTTCCTGGCAGTCCATGGTACATTCAGTACTCTTCTCCAGCACCACAGCTCAAAGGCATCCACTCTCCTTCTGTCCTCCCTAATCATTGTCCAACTCTCTGATGCATAACAAGCAATTGCAAAGACCATGGCCTGTATCAGGCGCACCTTGGTCTCCAGAGAGACACTGTTGCTCCTGAGTACTTTAGAGAGGTCCCTAACAGCAGACTTTCCCATCGCGATATGCTTTTTTATTTCCTGACTGCTGGTGCCAAGAGTGTTGACCGTGGAGCCGAGCAAACTGAAGCTGTGAACAATCTCAATCTCTTTGCCATCCATCCTGATGCTGCCAATTGGTCCAGTGGTGAGAATCTTTGTCTTCTTGACATTGAGCCTCAGTCCATACTGAAGGCTGCAGTCCTTGACCCTTCGCAACAAGTGCATGAGGTCCTCCTCAGTTTCAGCAAGCAGGGTTGTGTCATCTGCATAACGCAGATTGTTAATAGATCTTCCACCAATCCTGATGCCACAATTCTCCTCATAGAGCCCAGCCTCTCGGATAATCTGCTCTGCATACATGTTGAAAAGGTATGGAGACAGGATGCATCCCTGGCGTACACCCTTCCCAATTTTGAACCATGCAGTGTTACCCTGCTCTGTTCTGACTACTACCTCTTGGTCCAAGTATAGGTTTCGCATTAGCACAATTAAATGTTCTGGGATTCCCATTCTTCTCAGAGTCAGCCACAGTTTGTTATGATCCACACAGTCAAATGCCTTTGCATAACCAATGAAACACAGATCTTTCAGGTCCTCAGGCCAGAAAGGAAAACATCATCTACACAGGAGTTCTACAGGACACGTCACCTTCCCTTGGAGACAGTACAACTAAACTTAAGAGATACTGGTCAAAAGAAAAAAAAAATGTCAGCAGTTGACGTGTTTGGAATCACAGAAGCCAAGAAAGCTTAAGATACAAGCTGTCAGATCATGGGTTGGACAATGGAAGATATTTTCTGAAGGGACTTGGCAGATGTGAAGGGTTATCCTGGTGGAGGGTGGAGCTGGGAAGTAAGTGGGTCAAGGCACTGGGCTAGGGGTGGGGTCAACACTGTAACTAATGCTTAACTCCACAATAAGGGATTTATCTTTCACTGCTCCACAAATTGCTTGTCTGTCAGATACTCCTCTAAATCTGAACATTCAGATTAAGACAGACTAGGAAGAAGGCTTGGCCACCCACTTCTGAAATAGCAGGCCTATGAAAACCCTATGCACAACAGAACACACGCAGACTAACAGAAAAGGCAACCTAGGTAGAACTATCAAGTATGGGAATACAAAGGAGGAGGAACAGTTGTAAGCAGACCCTAGTGATTGGAACATGGAATGTGAGAGCCATGAATGTAGGAAAATTAGAAATTGTTAAGAAAGAAATGGAATGCATAAATATTGACATATTAGGCATTGGAGAGATGAGATGGACTGGCATGGGGCATTTTGAGTCAGATGACCATATAATATATTACTCTGGAGATGAAAAGACAAGGAAAAATGGGGTTGTCTTCATAGTAAAAAAAGTAATTTCTAGATCCATCTTGAAGTACAACATCGTGAGTGACAGGATTATATCCATACACTTACAAGGAAGTCCAGTGAATACCACTATCATTCAGACATATGCACCAACAACCAGAGCCAAAGAAGAAGAAATAGATGATTTCTACCAACTCAGCTAATGTGAGGAACTCCTTTTCAATGTTTATATTTGCTTTTTGCAATCTGTTCTCCTTTTCCTTTGGGTACAACTCTTTTATCATCCATATTCCACATCTTCATTGGCATGCTCATCTATATTTCTAAGCCACTTGCTGATGTTTTCAAAACTTTTCACGTTGCTGATGTCACATACTAGCATAATACTCAACCAACCAACCATCCTGGGCTTGGGTCTCTAGGAAGCCTCCTCATGTTAGTCTCTTGTAAGCCTTCTCATTACATGTTCTTTGTCTGTGATCTTGTAACCTGCCCCTCCCTAATGACAAAGCCCCTCATCTCACCCTCACAACCACGACAGGCATTCTTTCACACACACGTCTCACCTCCCATCTCCACACTCACTCCATTCTTCCCACAAACAGGCTTTACTGTGTGCCAAGCATGTCTGCACCCTCAGATGCTCTCCTGCTCCAGGGGTGTACATGTCCGTACACCAGCTCTGCAGTCTAGGGATGTCCATGCAACTGTGGAGAGACAGAGGACAAAACATTGCCTTATGCTAGTCAGAGTCGCTGGACTCACCAGTGGAATTGGATGGGAAGATTGGGAAGAACCTTCAAGGATGCAGAGTCTCTAAGGGAGGCAGGACAGGGATGGGTGGTGGCTTGGCTTGACGAGGTATAGGGCCTGCAAGGAGGTCAGCGATGTTGGAGAGAGCAAGTTGATTCTGAAAGGTTTGAACTCACTACAAAGTCCAAAAGCAGCCCTAGCCAAGAGTAGAGTAAATATGGTTGCTTTAAAATGTGTGCCTTGGTGAAAGCAGGCGAAGGCTTAATTTAGCATCAGCCCCAAAGAAAGAGAGGAGGAATGAGTATACTTAACCACTCTTCACTGATCTGTTGTAGTAGGCACAGCAGTTTCTAGAGCCCGAGTCATTTACCATTTTTCCACCACATTTGATCTGAACAATATGAACTACCTCCTTAAGCAGATCATAAGCCATGTCTAGGGATATTCAAATGTCAACTATACATTAACCAGGTGATCTGCTATTTCTTGGAACAGACTTGCACCAAGTCACCTATTCTGGTTGTTATTAGGTGCCATCAAGTCAAATACAATTCATAGCGACCTTATGAACAACAGATCTGAACCCTGTTCTATCCAGTGCCATCCTCAAACTTCTGACACACTAGAGCCCATTGCAGCAGTCACTGTGTCAGTCAACTTGGTTGAGGGTCTTCCTCTCCTTTGCCAACACTCCACCCTTTCCAGCATCATGTCCTTCTCCAAGGAATAGCCTCCTAGCAACATATCCAAAATATGTGAGGTGAAGCAAGGTGTTAATTGTGGATCCAAGCAAGATGAAGCTATTGACAGTTTCAATCTCCTCTCCATCCATTATGATGCTGCCTATCAGTCCAGTGGTAAGAATCTTTATTTTCTTGCCATTGGCATTCAAGCCATACTGAAGGCTGCATTCCTTGATCTTCTGCAGCAAGTGCTTCAAGTCCTCCTTACTTTCAGCAAAAAAGGTTGTGTCATCTGCTTAATGCAAGTTGTTGATGAGTCTCTCTCCAATCCTGATGCCACATTCCTCTTCACAGAGTCCAGCTTCCTGGATAATGTACTCAGCATACACACTGAATAGCTATGGAGAGAGAAAACAACCCTGATGCATTCCCTTCTCAATTCCAAACCATGCAGTGCTCCCCTGCTCTGTTCGCACAACAGCCTAGGTATAGGTATAGGTTTTGCATGAGCACAATTAAGTGCTCTGGGATTCCCATTCTTCTCAATGTCAGCCACAACTTTCATGATCCACACAGCCAAAAACCTCTCTAGGTAGGGGGAGTAAATCAGCAAGATGGAGTCACTTTGGCTTCAACCTATAGGTTCCGACCCTGTCTTCTATGACAGGAAACCTGGAGCCCTCCATTGTACAATGAAACAATCAAGAACAATATAGCCTAATATAGCCAGATGGGGAAAGAGATGTATCTTGTGGGGGCCAGGGGAGGCTTTGTTAGGAAGATGGGAGGCTGGGCCAGAAAGAGAAAAGAAAGCAACATCCTCTGTCTGGGTCTGAGGACACACTCTGGTGTGACTCGGCAGGGACAGCCTGCTGGCCTGACAAAATGAGGCTAGAGGAAGCCCTGGTGGCTGAATAAAGACTCTGGTTTTGGTTCATTGTTTTTGGGGTTTTAAAAAATTGCGATTTGGGTGAAAGTTTACAAAGTAAATTTGTTTTCCATTCAGCGATTTATATGCATTTTGTTTAGCTGCAACCTCTCAATATAACATTCCTTTCCCACTTCCCGGGTTCGCCTGTCCTTCTTCCCTGCCCCTAGTTGCCTTTTTTTTAAAAAAATTAATTTTAATAGACATTTACAGAAGTTTTGGATTTCCATTCATTCATTGCCGCACTTTTCTCCCTGCCCTCCCCTCCCCGCCAGTTTGCTCCCCTCTCCGGAAAAAAAAATTCCTTCATTAGTATACAATTCCCCCATCCCTTCCCCCCCACCCTCCACCCGGAGTACACTTCTCTATGCAACCTTAATTCTGGATTCCTGTGCTAACCATAATATTCAATCATACGTCACCTCTAATCTGTTCTTTCCCTCATCTGTTTCAATACAATATACATAATTTATCCAGTTTTTCCTAGTTGCCTTTTGAATTTTGTTTCGAGGCTCACAGTTTCAGACCCCAGGCCCAGCAGTCATCCTGGTGAACACAAGGAAAGGCGCCGGGGTTTAGCATGCCCAACCAAGCTAACGCCCCGCCAGCAGATCTTTTGTCCCAGAGACTCAAAGGCAGCGTCAGCAGGGCCAGGCCTATATATATGGGAGCAGGTTGGAGAGTGGGTGCACCATGGCACAGAGCTCTGGAAAGGTGAGTGTTCCCTCCCGGGCTCCGGGCTCCAAAGCCCCAGAGGAATCCAAACTAAGACCCTGCAAACTGCCTCCCTGCGCCCCATCACCGTTTTTATGCTTGGATTTGAGGAGGGACAAAAGGATGAGCTCACTAGTCTATGGGTTTGTCATATGCAAAGTTAGCACAATTTGATGGAATGGGCCGCCCTGCTGTTGAGTAGCTGAAGCTGGGAGTCAGGGCCTGGCTGACATTAGAAGCAGGGACGGTGGTGAACACCAGGGCCTTGTTTCTTGATCACACTGGGGATCCCTGAGGGTTCTGGAACCCAGAGAGCCCACTCTGTCATCTTTATCTGTGGCTGCTCTAACTGAGACGTTGACAGTCGGAGCACCCAGTGAAGGATCAGCTAGGAGCGGGCTGAAACTTCCCTGGCAGCAAAGGACAGAGGGAGTCTAAATGTGGGCTAGCTCTTTGCAAAACGCTGAGGCTGGCAGTACATGTCTCATTTTGGTGCCTAGATTTCCCTGCTCTCTGAGAACCCCACTCTGGGGGGCTATCTATGCAGGGAGAGTAGCCTCCCACTTCTCTAACTTCCTTATCTAGTTTATTTGAGAAGCTATTTTCAAGAGATTGTGTCAATTTAGACTGCTTGGGTCACACTTTAGTGATAAATGGTTACATGTCCCAGTGTCCATAAGCCTTAAAACGTGCCACACTCAAGCAGTGCATTCCCCAGCAGGTCTGTGCAGGACTCCTGCCAAACCCATCCAGCTCTAGGTCTGCAGAGCTGTGTGGCAGGGGGACCCATGTACCAGCTTGAAACGCTTCCATTGCCAACGTACATGACCACTCCTGTCTACAAGGTGCATGGAAGCAGAATTCTGCCACTTCCTCCGAGGAGAACTGGAAATATTACTGTTGCTATAATAGACTAGAGAACTCTGGTGGCCTAGTGTTAAGGAGTTGCCCTGCCACCCAAAAGGCAGGCTGTCCAAGTCCAGCAGCTGCTCTGTGGGGAAAAGATGGTCCATCTCCTCTGTGTTAATTATTGCTCTGAGGATTACTTATGAGCGGGTTCTTACCTGAGGGTACGTAGCAACAATGACAAATGACTGGGGTGGGTTCCAGACTTCTAGGCAACATTATTTGCACTTTAACAGCCCCTTCTGAAAGCCCAAGTCTTGAATCTTAAGAAGAGAGTTAGGATAAGAATATCAGGTGCCACAACAGGTATCGGGGCTTTGGCTGTTTCACACTGTTTTGCTTGGTGATGAGGAGAACCAGCTGGTGTCACATAGCTCTGGGACACTGTGACTGAACTGAGTTCCAGACTTGAGATGCTTCAGGCAGCCCTAGCAGCTTAGTGGTAAGGTGTGGTACTTCTAAAACACAAGCATGTGGTTCAGATCCCCCAGCTGTTCCACGGAAGAAAGATGGACAATCTCCTTGCATGCAATTTACTGTTTTCTGAAAATCCACGGGAAGGTCAGCTATGAGTCGGTTCGACTCAACGGCCCACAACAGCAAGGGACTCAGAGCATGGGATTTCACTAAGCAGGTCCCTTCTGAGGACATAACCCCTGTGCCAACCTCCAAGGTGGAGTTCATTCAGGAGGTGCAATCCAGGTACTTGCCTTTCCAGAAAATAAATGCAGAGGTATAATGGAGCAGTTGTTTGGGAGGTGTTTTGCTTTGAAAAGATTTCATTCAATGTGATTATAAATAGTTGTGTTTGAAATGTGATGGAAATTTGCAAAGAACCATTTTTAATTGCTCCCTACACAAAGGGGGAAATCTCTGCCTTTCAAATACTGACTGACACTTTGCTCGACCTCTCCTGAGGGTAGTAAGGGCTGGAGTGCTATCATCACATTAACCCACCAAAGGAAAAGAGAGGAAAAACCCACTCACATGTCCTTTCACCTGGTTGATCAGTAAATCTTGGATGGGCCCCACAGTATGCAAGGGGACTGAGTTAATGTTCTTGGGAATGGAGATTCCCCTAGATGAGAGTCAGGCCAGCCCCTGACCTCATCCCCTCACCTGCACCCCCACCCCCCAGATCACCCTCTATGAGGGGAAGCACTTCACAGGATGGAAGCTGGAGGTCTTCGGGGACTGTGACAACCTTCAGGACCGAGGCTTCATGAATCGGGTGAATTCCATCCGAGTGGAGAGCGGTGCCTGGGTGTGCTTCGAGCACCCCGATTTCCGGGGCCAGCAGTTCATCTTGGAGCGTGGGGACTACCCTGACTTCTTCCGCTGGAATGGACACAATGACCACATGGGCTCCTGCCGGCCTGTAGGAATGGTGAGTAGGGATCCACTTTGGTGGCACTGCCTGCTGAAGTGATAGAGCGGTGTGGGGGTGAGAGGGCTGCCGACCTGAACTGGTGGGGACAAATCACCAGGAGAGCAAGGTCTTCTCAGCTGTGTGGTCCTTGAGATCATCCAGGTCCAGCCACGTCCTGAGCTGAAGATGGTATGGGGTCAAAAGGACAGGGACTCGGATGGGATCTTTGTTGGGGACCACCCTGCTTAAAAAAGCCTGTTTCTGAGACTTTCACACTGGGACTACAGGGTCTATCTTCCTGGGGCCTGCCTTCCAGAAGGTATCACTTCAACAAGGGGCGTCTTTTCTGTGTCCATTCCTTAGGGTCCTGCCACATGACCCAAACTTACCAGGCCAGCCAATATAAGACACCATTTTCATGCATACATCAGGAAACCACTTTAAATTTCTCATCCAAGAGTTTGGCTAGGTTTATCATTGAAAGTGTCCTGATGTAAGTTTGATTTTGCATGCAGATGAGGGGATTAGGGGAGAAAGAAAGTGAGTATTAAAGTTCACCTGACTTTGGCCTGTGCATCACATCTTGAAGGTGATTCCCAATACTTTTCAAGAGTGATCTGTGCACGCAGTTTGGAGTGACTCATAGGGGAAGCTCCCACCAAAAAAAGAACAGTTATGGGCTGCCCAAAGAATAAACAGATCTCCTCGGAAAAAGTATAACCAGAATGCTCCTTAGAAGCAAGGGTGGCGAGACTTTTTCTCAAATGCGTGTTATCAGGAGAGATCAGTTCCTATAAAAACACATCAAAATAGAGGGCCAGTGACAGAGAGGAGACCCCCAATGAGATGGTGAGACAGTGGACGTAACACTGAGCTTAAGTGAAGCAGGAACTCTGAGGGTGATGTAGAATTGGGCATGGTTTCATTCTGTTATATTTAAGGTCAAGTTGGAGGCAACTCAGCTACAACGGCAACCAGTGGACTCTGTGGGGTCTTGGTGGTGAGGGAAAACTCAGGCTGCAGGGCCTGGGAGACCTTTATCTGGGCTGCCTTTACAGCTTTGGCCCTGCATGTAAAAAGAGCAAATGCAATGTGCTCCCCCAAAGTTGAGGACCGACGTTTGCTTGCTCTGTGCTGAAATATAAGCAATGGGCTCCTTGAATTTCCCCAAGTCACAAGTACCAACCTGTCTGGAGTGCTCTACATTTGGGACAAGAAGTGACAAGATCCTATAACCAGAGGTGAACAAGGTACCCATGACCAGGTAGGTCTGGTTACATGCCTATAGGCTCCACAGAAAGAACCTGTCTGTGGGGACTCACATCTCTTCCCTGCATTGGTTACAGAAGCAGATGGGCTTTGGCATCTCAAATTGTAAGAGTAATTTCCTCTATATTTCCACCAGACCATGGTCATTTGAGAAAAAAAGGAATTAAAGTTGTTGGTCCTAGATCCTGCATAATGCTCTATCTATAAACAATTATCAGGTATATAGTGAGACCTTCTTGGGCCAGCCTTGCCATAAACATGGGCCTAGGGGAGCCCAGAGCACGTGCTGAAGTTTTCCTTTAGCTTCTGGTGACACGACGCAGGCAATCTCATAGGGATCAGTGAACTAGGCTCTAAGGTCCAGCCAGATTTCCACTAAAGAGACTCTACTGTTTGTTTGAGGGTTTTGGCTTCATGTTTTAATCAGAAGTTCTATTTCAACAAGATGAATTGACACAATAGCTGTGAAAATCGGCCCACATGCAGCAGCGATTGTGAGAACGGCACAAGACCCAGAAGCATTTTAGCGTGTCATAGAGTCACTGTGAATGGGGACCAACTTGATGTCACCCAGCAACATTACTGTTACTGAATATTGTCATTACGTTATGGTAGTCCATAATGTGCAAGCCAGAGAGAAGGATGAAGGATGGAACCCTGTACTGGGTGATGAGGGTGAGAGAGGGATTCCCCCGAGGAGCTGATGACTAGCTACAAACCCTCTCTGTTCCTTGAATTCTTCTCAGGGAAAAAGAGGAGATTGGGCTGGTTCAGATGGGTCAGAACTTGTAAAGTGCTAGAACTCGCTCACCGAACCAGACCATCTGTGTAAGAATAAACAAGGGTTGGTGGGGGAGGTACTCCCTGTCCACTCTGAGCTCAGCCCTGGGTCAGCCCCCCTGGAGTGGCCCGGGACTCCGAGGTCAGTGGGCTGGGCCATTCTCAGTCCCTTCCTGTGGGCCTTCTTTTCATGACGGACACGGACTCAGGAGCACTTTTCTCCTTTTCCTCCCTTCGCCTTGGAGCATGGGGAGCATTTCCGCCTGGAAATCTTCGAAGGCTGCAACTTCACAGGCCAGCGCCTGGAGTTTACAGAGGACAGTCCCTTCCTCCAGAGCCAGGGCTGGACCAAGAACTGCGTCAGCGCCCTTAAGGTGTACGGGGATGGAGGGTGAGTGACAGGAGTCTGACTCCACAGGCAGACAACAAGCCCCCAACACTGAGGCCTTCCCCAGACAATGACTGCCCCACACCCAGGCAGAAGCAGCTTCTCCCACTGCCTGGAAAGCTCTGGGAGGGGACCCTGGGTGCAGAGGCACCTTAAAGGGAGGCCCTTCACCGGAGTGGGGGTGGGGGGCAAGTTGTAATGGTTGACGAAGACTCGATACCTGAAGTGCAAGCAGTGTGCTCCTTGGAGGCAAGGAGAGTGAAATGTGGTCTCATGTACTTTAGACAAGTTGTCAGGAGGGGCTAGTTCTTGGGAAAGGTAGAGATTCAGAGAAAGAGAAAGACCTCAACAAGATGGATTGACACAGTGCCTGTAACAATGGGCGGCAGCCTGTCAGCGCTGAAGATGGTGCAGGATTGGGCAGGGCTCAGATCCTTGTTCACAGTGTCTCCTTGTGTCCTCCTCGACTTGATGGCGCCTAACAACCACGATGGTAGTGAAGGCTGGGTTGGTGCTGGAGAGAGGACCCGTTTGCTCTTTAGAGCCCAGGGAAGCTCAAGCACCGTGAAACCCCAGCCCCACCCTTGCCCTGAGGCATCTCAAAACAAGAGCCAGCCGGTGGGTTGTCTTAGAAAGACCACAAGTGTATGGGCTGAACAAATGGATTTTTCTCACTCTTTAGGAGGCTAGAAGTCCAAATTCACTGCGCCAGCTCCTGGGGGAGGTTTTCTCTGTCAGGTGTCTTTTCAGCTTCTATTCCTGGATCCCTTGACAGTCATGTGATGCATGTCTTCCGCCCCATTGTACTTGTTTGCCTAATCTGTTCTTTTATATCTTAAGAGTATGTTTTAAGACCCACTCTGTACGAATTTCTACCTCATTAACCAGCAAAGGGGGCTGAATTCTCCGATGGGATCGTGGCCATGTAGATAGATGTTATATTTAAGTTCTCTGTTGTTGCTAGATGTAATCCATTGTGACCCTGTGAACAACAGACTATCCTGCACCACCCTCACCGTCTCTGATACACTACAGCCCTTTGTTCCAGCCATTGTCCATCTTACTGAGGGTCTTCCTACCTTATGCTGACTCTCCACCTTTCCCATCATGATGTCCTTTCCCAAGGACTGGCCCTCCTGATAATATACCTAAACTGCATGAGATGAAATTTCACCATCCTTGCCTCTAAGCTGGCTGCATTTCCTCCAAGATAGACGTGTGTGTTCTTTTGACAGTCCATAGGCTCTTCCCCAACACTACACTATAAAGGCATCAATTCCTCTTTGGTCATTTTAATAACAGTTAGGTTTCTAATATATGTTTTTGAGAGACACAATGTAACCCATAAAAGCAAACAGACCCCACATCCCAGTATGGCTAACTGCTGGCCTGGACAACTCTCTCTACTGGAATGTTTTGGGGAGGATTTGGGGCGATGATACTTTGGGAGATCTCACTTCCTGGGCAGACAGGGCCTAGGGGACGTTGTCTGGATTGGAGGGTTACCTGCACATCCCTGTGCTTTGTAGCCTCCACTTTATAAAGGAGGAAGCTACCATGCAGAAAGGTCAGAGGACTCTTGTCCTAGCAGGTGACACAGCAGGATTACAACCAGGCTTTTTGTCTCGGGATTGTTCAGTCCTATAAAGTGTCATCCTAGGCACCATCCCCTACAGACAGCTACTTGCATAGAGAACTGCCTCTCCCAGAGCCCTGTGTCTGTATTCCTATAGCCCAGGATCAAGGCAGTGCTGGGGGCTATGAATAAGTGTGAGGGGGTACTAATGGAAAAGGATGTCACAGTAGGAAGATGGTCTGGCCCCATGGGATTGGTGTTGGAGATGGCACTTTGGTTCTCCAGGGCCCAGGGAAGTTCCACATGCAAGTTTTCTGCTTTCTATCTTCTGATTCTCCCCAAGGCTCTCTTTTTCACTTCTGCCTTTCTTATTTCCCTTTATCTTTGTGAAATTCCATGTTTGCCCTACATGGATGATGCCTAAGAATTCCAAGGGTAGAATCCCAAAACAGTAATCTGCCCTGGAAAAATTGCTGACTGAGTTGTGTCTTGTGAGGTCAAGAAGATACCCTTTCATGTACAGGGGCCTGAGACGCAAGAGGTCACCTCCCATGCCTGTTCCCAGAAGACTCCTGGGGCTTGTCTAGAAATAAGGTGGGAAGTGGTACTGGGAATAGCATTTGGAGAACATACATGATCTCTTTTCACTCCCATCTTACCTATGAGGAAAGAAATAGGAAGTTGCACGTGGTAGACTCCATCTTGGGACTTGACACTCTGCATGGAGTCATACTGGGGAGGAATATTCTTTTCTTTCTGAAATGTTAACTTTTAGAAAGAGGGTCCAGGTAGTGGGAGCTGGGATGGGCCCTGGGCTGCCATCACTTTTCAGACAGGAGCAAGTTCAGGAACAGTCTATTGCCACAAAGCAAGCTGCCCATGCTCTGCCCTGTCCCTGAAGGGACGTGGTCTCCACATTGACCCAAGAACTAATGTCCTTGCCTTCATCCAGAGAAAGACCATTCACATTCTTGGAGGAGGAGGGTACCTGAAGGACCAGCCAGCCTTTTCCTCTTCGGTTGGAACAAAGTTTCATGCTGGCCTTAAACACTGTGAGACATGTTCCTGAGGGGTAGGGTAAAGCGGACTGGTAGCGAGGCCAAGGCCGGAGGTGCAGGAACCCAGGCAAATCTGTGTCCCCCGCAGAGCTCCTGCTGACTCACGTTTCCTTCCTCTCTCTGTGTGCATTCTCTCCTCAACCCCTGGCGGGCTGCCAGCACTTGCAGGGTTAGGGCAGAGAGAGGCGCTGAGGGGGGTAGAGGAGTGCGAGAGCTGAGAAAAGCACCACTGATTCACTGACGCAGTGGCCACATGGCCTCGGTGCTCACTTCCTTTCACTGGACCTGTCCAAAACAATGGCATTAGGTCAAAGGCACTCAAAAATTGCACACCAGTGTCTTATGGAGAGAGAAATTGGTTTGAGGTTGATGTTTCAAGACAGAATCCTGTGACCTGGCCAGAGGGCCCCCTAATTAGAGTTAAACTGTTCACAGCCCTGTTAAAGGCTGAGGATGTATTCAGCATGCTGCTTAAAGGCCACCAGCTCCTCTGTCAGGAAAATACCATTTCCTAGGTGTGGTGAAAGACGAAGATGTTGAGTTAGCTTTGAGTGCTCCTGCAGTAGACCAAGCCCTATCTACCATCCACTTCCTGCCACCCCCATCCACACACACAACTTCCCCTCAGCAAGGCCCAGACTTTACCCTCCGTGGAAAATGGTTCAAAATGGAGCCTTTCTGCTTTGCACAGCCCCATGCCCAGAGGAGGGCAGAGTTAGGAGGCTCTGTGCCTCCTGCTGCAGCCAGGAGCCCTCTTTCTTGGTCCACAAGCTCCTTTCCCAAACACGGATGTTCTCTGGGCTCCTCGCTTACCTTGCTCCCAGAGGGAACCATCCTTGATTGCGTGAGTCCATTGCCTTTTACCTGACATCCTGAGCTCCCTGGGCCATCCCATCCCTAGTTCAGGCTCCAAGGTATTCTTTTCTTTGCTCTGCTCTCTTGAGTACCAGCAACTTAGCCAAGAAGGAGTGGAGGAGTGGAGGGATGAAGTACAATTGTCCCCACAGTCACTCCTGGCCCTGTGAGGACTACTTGAGGTTGGTCATGTTAGAATATCCTCAGTCCTGGGCACTAGCCAGGGTGTAGTGCCACAACCCAGTCCCAATATGCCTGTAGGTGGACCACAGGGAAGACCATCCAGCAGAATAGGGCCAGACACCAGCCATGTCCCCAGATGGAATGGGGTTGCCTCAGCATTTTGAGAGGGGCCCAGCCCCGGCCTGCTCTGCTCAGCATCCCAGGCATTCATCCGCCCTCTTCCTCACCCACTTGCCCTTCACCTTTGTTCCAGGTGGGTCCTGTACGAGGAACCCAACTACCATGGCCGGATGTATGTGGTAGAGAGGGGTGACTTCCGCAGCTGCTCTGACTGGGAGGCCCAGAGCACCCGCATCCAGTCCGTCCGAAGAATCGTCAACTTCTTCTAGCCAGGCCTGTCCACTTGCCTCTGGCCAGGCTGGCCCTGGGACCAGGAGAGGCCCAGAGGGGACAGGTTGGTCCTTCAGGACATAGGATGCCAAGACTCCAAACCCACTGCCGTCAAATCGTTCAGACCCTTGACCACCCTCCACTGGGCTTACTAGGCTGTAAATCTTACTGGAGGAGCCTCACATCTTTCTCCTGAAGAGTGGTTAGTTGGTGGATTCAAGCCATCAACTTTTCCCTTGGCAGTACAATGCATAACACTGTACACCACCGGGGCCCAAGATTGTAAGGAATAAAAGTCGTACAAGCCAGAACCTCAGCAGGCCTTGGGTGCTTTCTCTTGTCCTTCCTGACCCATTGGGCAGTGGGGTGGGCTGCCCAGGGCCTGAACAGAGCAGAGGATCCAGGGCCCATTCCCAGACTGAGAGATGGATCTTTCTTTCACCCACATTGTTGCTGTTGTTATGTTCCATTGAGTCCCCTGTGACTCATAGTGACCCCGTGTACAACAGCCCTAAACCCTGCTCTATCCTGTGCCAGTCTTATTGTCTCTGATACACCTACCCCCATTACCCCAGTCACTGAACCAATCCACCTCATAGAAGGTCTTCTTCTCTTGAGCCTGCCCTCCACCCTCCCAAGCACAATGTCCCTCTCCAAGGACTGGTCCCTCCTTACAACATGTCCAAAGTATGTCAGACGAACTTCAGAATCCTTGCCTCCAAGGAGCAGCCTGGCCTCACCCTCTCTAAGACAAGCCTCTTTGTTCTATGGCAGTCCATGGTATATTCAATACTCTTGTAGACACCCATATGTTCCACATCTACCTAATTCCCTTCCCAAAGCAGGGGAAGGACTAAGGAAGGTGGGGGAAGGACATCTGGGGACACTCAGTTTTAGACTATGCCGGCTATTGGCCTTCTGACCCAGCCCTTTTGTTTCATGCAGAGGAGTCCTATGCCCAGCGTGGCGAGATCTCAGAACAGGCTCCTTTTGGAACCAGGATGTAGTCCATTTTGGCTCCTTGGTCAGTTAGGAAAGAGGGAAAGAGGAGCAAGGGAGCCAGGAGGGAGCCCCACTTGTCCCCCTGACTCAGCAGCTTGGCCATAGACACGTGGTCTGTTCCTGGCTGGAGGCCCAGCTGGGGACTCTTTGTTTCCAGCTCTAGGTTTTATCCTCTAGGCTGATGGTGGCCCCTGGGCTTCCAGAGGAGGCCGTTCTGAAGGGATGGACAGACCTCGGCCCATGCATCTGTCCTGTGAGGAATTGGGGTTCTAGAGGTACTTCCACAAGAAAGGAGATGGGGAAAGCTAGAGAAGCAGCAGGGAGGGGAATGTAGTGAGAGCAGCTTGTTCCACAGGAAGGAATAGAAGTTCTCCTGAGGAAGAGGACCTGGAAGGAGCTCTCAGGACTGGAAAGGGGGTTAGTGTACCCCGACAGCCTCTCACCTCCAAGATGGGATACAGATAGTTAGGGATCAGGGTAGGGGGCCAGGCAGAGCTGCATGCTAGTCCTGAGAATTATCAGGGGACCAACGTGGGTGGTGGCACTCCAGCAGTTGTGGGCCCGTACTCCCAGGGACACAGGGACTGTCCAGGGAAATGTCCTACCCAAGTGGTAGGATTGCTGGGAAGGGTCCCCTCCAGTGAGAGAAAAAGGCTGACAACTTGGCCTCCACAAGAGGCTGGACTGTCAGGGGAGGAGCCCAGATAACCTTGCCCTCCCCACACCCCATAGCTGAACTCAAGTCAAAGACTGCAGATAGAGAAGCACCCGAGTGCAGAAAGCAGACACTAGGCAATGTGTCCATTTGGTGGAACTCAACAAATTCTAGGAAGTTCATGGAGAGGGACCTCAAAAAAATTATCTTCCCACTGTCTCCAGGTCTAGGGCTCAGCCTGGACATTTGAGTCAGGGTTTTTGAATGTTATCAATGTGTCCCAACCATATGTGTCTTCATTGTCCCACTTCTAAACACTCAACATCGGGGCTCCGGGGTCCCTGCCCCTCCTATCTGCCCACCGAGCCTCTCAGCTCGCCTTCATTACAACTCATGAGTCCTTTTTCCCGGGACATCAAGAGAGGAACCCCTTAGCCACTAATCATCCAGAAAAGTATTTGATGGACTTCACAAGCCTGTTACCACCACGCAGCAGCATGCTACTCATTCCTCTGCAGGTGGTAGTTGGGGTACAGGGCAGAGCCACCAGGGCTGCACCCTACTCCGGGCATCATCTCTGTGGCTGTGACTTCCTCCAGGACTCAGCTTTCTCCTCTGTGAGATGGGTACAGCAGTATTCCTCACAGGGTGACTGTGAGACCGTAGGGAAACTGCCAAGCCCAGCCCCCTGGAAAATTCCCTCTTCTCCTAGATGCAAAGAGTCACATTAAGGGAGATTTATGCTTCACCAATTGGCTTTGTGCTCCTTGGTGACTTCTCCCACACTCCTGGTCCCTGATCTGTCAGGAAATATCTTGAAAAGAGAAAGAGAAGACTCCCACCAAGCACTTGGAAGCCAACCCACTGGGGTCAGTGCACCATTGGCAGCAAGCAGATTTGTCATACAGACAAGGGCCTGCAGATGCTTCACATACTTCTAATGCTGTTCTGCTGTTGGAGAACAGGGACTGACACCCTCGTGTCCTTCCTGACCAGACCTCCCACTACAGAGGGTCATCCCCAGAGGCAATGAACCAACAGAAGTGTTGGCCCAAATGAAGTTCTTCCCCAATCCACTTCTGCAGCACTGTCCCCACACTGCCCCAGGTGACTCCAAGTGTCCCTGCCACCTTGCCGCGTCTTGTTCTTGACTTGCTAAAGGTCTCTTGTCTCTCGACCTTGGAACCAACCAACAGAATCCCTTCAAAGGTTCAGGTGATACTCCTCCATTTCTTTATTCTCCTCAAGAAACCGTGGCACATTTTAAATAAAAAGTCTGTTGTATGAGAAGTGTAAAGTTCAGCTCCTGTTTGGGTGAGTTGGGTATCAGAGATGTTCTCTGGGTCCTAAAGGACCATCCGAGTCTCATCTGCCCAGACTGTGACCTGCCTATCCCTTACCTGCAAAATCCCCCTCTGGGCACAACTGTCTTCTTATTTGCCTCTCTTGATTTTCCACAGTATTCTGCACAGGGTCTAGGAAGAATGGGGTCATTCAGGGAGCCAAGGGTGAGGATAGGGCTTGGCCCAGACTTCTTGACTCATCCCATGACATGTAGTGAACTGTAATCTCTACCATCATCTTCTCGCCATTGGGTCAAAACCAAGTCATAACTGACCCTTCAGTGGGTTTTGTAGATTGTAAAGCACACAGGAGAATGCCCATCTTTCTTCCATAGAACAGATGATGTTGGAATGACCAGAGAAGCAGCCTATGGCTTAGCAATGTAACTCCTATACCACCAGAGCTCCCTACTGAATCGTACACCCTCCCACTCCTGGCCCAAATATATGTTTCCTTGGCTGGACCATGATTTTTAGTATTGTGGAGTAAATGATGTCATGATCTGATAAAACAACCTGTTGTTGATCTGACCGTGGCAGTTGTTTACTCAGGGTGTGACCTGCAGCCCCTTTTATCCCACAAGAGAGAAAATCAAGCAGAGAGGGAACCTCAGTACCCCAAGTGAGAAGAGGTGGAAGCAGAATGTGTCCTTAGGCCCCAGGCTCCTGAGCTGGTGAACTCCTAGACCCCTAGAGAGAAAGCTTCTCACTAGAGCAGCCCACTCTCTTCCTTAGGGAGTGTTGGTGTTGTGTGCTTTAGAGTCAGAACTGGCTCACAGCTGACCCTTACGTGGGCTTTCCGAGGCTTTAAATGATGTGGGAGATTGCCCATCTTTCTCCCATGGTGCATATGGTGGGTTTGAACCACTTGCTTTAGAGTTTGCAGTGTCACTTCCTACCACTAGGCCACCAGAGCTTCCTTAGGGAGTGTCTATCTTTTCATTAACTTGCTGCCTTGCTGACACACCAGCTGTCTGCTCACTTTCTTGGAGAATGTCTTTGCTTTAATACACTTACCACCTTGCAAGTACCTCTAAATCATTCTTTCTTCTTATTTTCTCTGTTGTGTTCTATCTGCTGAGTGGCATTCTTTTCAACTTTTTAGAGAGTTGTCTCATGAGACAGGGAGGATCAAAGTCCAAAACCTCTCCTCCAGTAACACTGGCATCAGGAATTCAGTGCTGTAGTGTGTTGTATGTGTAGCTAATGTTGGTGGTTAGAATTCACCACCTGCACTGAGGAAGAAAAACTAATAATCTCCTTTTTTAAATTTTTGTATTAATTTTAATAAAAATTTACGGAGACTTTGGATTTCCATTCATTCATTCTTGCACTTTTCTCCTGGCCCACTTCTCTTCCCCCCCCCCCCCCCCC